TCCCTTCCTTCCTTCCTTCCTTGCTTGCTTGCTTGCTTGCTTGCTTTCTTTCTTTCTCTTCCTTTCTTTCTTTTTCTTTCTTATCTATCTACCTATCTATCTATCTTATCTATTTAATTTTCACAGTTTTTGATGAAAGTTGTATACACGATTACTTTATGCATCGGCTCAATTGTTTCTTCCTTATATTTGCCTGTTTCCTTTCCTGCCTGGGGAGATTTGGCTTCACGTTTGAGGATCTTTTCACGGTCTCTGTCCCGTTGTAGTCTGGTGATAACCACCTTCCTGGGGTGAATGCCCACGTGGACAGTCGTGCTGTTCACCTTCTCTCGCTGCACTTGTTCAGTGTGGGTGACATCTTTCTTCCTGTAAACCTGGACCACTTTGCCAACCTGCTGCCCTCTTGCAGTGCCCTCGTACAACCTGAACATCATCATCCTTTCAGATGGGCGTGGTTGGAAAATTGTACTTCTGGCTCAGCTCTTTGGAAAGAGGAGAAGACATAAGGTTCCTGCGAATGTGGGAAGGTGCATTGAAATGCCTTTTATGGTTCTTGCTTTCGGTCACAATTCACAAAGGGATTGAACTTCATTTTCGATGCCAGTGTTTCAGCAAAAGGGAAGAGCTCATTTACTTTTCAGTAAGATGTTGAGTGGAGAAAAAAAAAAAGACACAACCTAAAAGCTGAGAATTACGTTTTACTTGGTGGACTTTCTGAGGACTTCAATCCTGGGAGGCAGCCTCTCAGACAGCTCTTAGGGACTTCTCCAAGGAGGTAAGTGAGGAGCCAGGATATATAGGATTTTTTGCAACAAAGATTGGATAGTCAGAACATCAAAAGATTACTGTTGATTAAAGAAAACCAGATATCTCAAGTTAAGGAATTTAATGATTTTCTATTTATGGGAAGACTCAAGAGCCTGAGCTCACTGAAATCATTCCTTTGATATGCACCTTAGCTATCCAGGGCCTGTATCCTGTGCTTCCCATGCTGAGTCTCCCCAGGGGACGCTATTGGGGGTGGTGCCGTGGCTGAGGGCTTCCTGCTTCCATCCTGAATTCCCTCAGGGCTCACCCTCCGGGCGGCTGCAATGTGATGGCTTGATGGCTGCGATATGAGATGAGTTATTTTTCACTCACAAAGGCAAGCAGTTTTCTCTTTATAAAGCTTTGCCTTTTAGTCTGGAAGGGATCCCACCCCAGGCCAGCACTGTCACATGTCTATCATCTTAAGGTGAATTTTAAGCGGCACCTCACCTGGCCAGCCTTAATACAACCTGGGTATTCTTAGTAAAGAATAAACGGAAATGGATATTGGGTGAGCTGCAGTATCTGCGGTATGCTGCATGTCACCTTGTTGCTACAAAGGACCTGGCCACCTGCAGAATCAGTCTCCCGGGGTAGGCTCCTGGGCTCTGCATTGCAACACACTCCTCCTTTTATGAAGGAAAAGCTGGGCTGGTCTAACAAGATAACTCACAAGTCTAGGAATGTGAAGGAGAGGTTGGGCTGGGCTGGCAGGATAACTCACAAATCTAAGTATTGGAATACTGATCTGAGTTCTGCTGGACTAACTTGTAAATCTAAGTTAATTAGTGTTGGTTTGCTGTTCATGTTTTTTGCTAGCCAGCTGGATTTTTAAAGATATATTTCTGGCTTTGGAATGTTGGTTTGCTGCCTTCCTGCCTCCACTTTTGTGATAATGATGCTGCTAAAGCTGTCCCATGCCTATTGGCCGAATACCTCAAGCTTGTCCTGTACCCTATAAAACCTCATGCACACGTCTTGGAGGTGCTCAGAGCTTCGGAGCAGAAGCCCCTCTGAGCCCGCCGGCGTAACACATCTGAGTACTCCAACCCTCCGAGTGGTGCTTGTTTCTTGGCTGGCCTGTCGTTTCCGTAACATTTCAATTCAGTGTATTGATGCTTGAGATCCACAATGTAGGGGATGAAGTAGCAGAAAACAGATGTCTCCTCTACTGTCTTGTTTGTGACGCACATTACCACATATTGGAAACAACTAGAGGACAATACTTTATTCCATGCATATCAGTTAGGATGCTTTTGGCCTCAGGTACCGGGAAACCCAATTCAAAAAGGCTTAAACACGAAGGTAGTTTATTACTTTATGTAATAAGCCCAGAGGTAGGACAGGTTCAAGATTGGTAGACTCGGTAAGGATCAGATTTTTTTTTTCTCTCCACTTGGCTGTTGACCTTTACAGCTTCATTCTCTATGGCTGGATTCCTGCTCCTGGGCTGTGAGTCAGCTGCCTGCAGCAATCAGTGCTTTGTGTAGCCTTGCTCCTGTTCAGTGTGAGAGGGAAGAAGGCTCCCTGGGGCTCTCGAATGAGAAAGAATTCTTGTAGTAGAAACACCAATGATCCTCTGTTTGTGTCCAACCCCAAGAATTGAATCACATGCCCATTTCTGAACCAGTCACTGACAGGAAGGTGACATTGACCTGTTGAGTAGTTAATGCACTCTTTAAGCTCGAATCAAAGCTGTACTTCTTCAATTTGCATTGACCCAATGGGGTGGGGTCAGGTGGAGTAAATCACTGTACCAGTTTACTGCATCCCATAATTGGCATCTTGTATCTGCCCTTTAGACACAGCCATTCTGGCTCCTTAGCCCTTCCTGAGCTTCTCAATGTAGATTCCTAGCCCTAGAGTAGAGGTTGGAGGTGAGTCAGGCTCTTGGCAAGACCACGCCGGAGCCTAGAGTTTATCACTTTGCTAATCTGAGATGACTGTCTGTTGTAGTCAGAGCATTTGCTGATTCTTTGAGAAGTCACATGGTGACTGCCTCTCAAATTCTGATGCTTCTCTCACAGCCACCAAGGTCATACAATTCACTTTCTGTCAATCAATCTTGGGATTTATCAAATCTGTTCTTCCTATGAAAATTGAGAGCAACAATTCTGGATAGGGGAACTCTCCTCTCCATGTCGAGTAGTGTAATAAAAATGTGCTTGCAATCACTTCTACCCTGACAGTGCATATTCATTATGTAACATTCTGTATTTGGAAAAGAATACTTTCAGTCTCATGGCTTCATGGCTGCTTAGTGATAAAGCCAGAACTCAATTTGAGGGTACTCGATCTCCCTTTTCTCTGAGCTTTTTCAGCATTTTTATGCTGTCATCATTTATGTGGGTAGATACAGCCAAACAGAACACCAAGGTTTGGGTGCTTGAGTGATGAGACGGGCAATTGATATATTGGGGGAAAAAATGGATGAATTTGATTTTGAATTTATATTCAAATTCAAATGGCCAACATTCCAGTGATCAGTAAAGTTAAGACTCAAATCTGAATAATGAATGTTGGAGATTTAGACTTTGAACTGTCACCACAGAAGAAAGTTGAAGCCAGACTCTCCAAGAGAGACAAGGCCTGAAGAAGGCAAATGGCCAAGGGAGGGCAGCAGTGGGGAACCCAGTAGTTAGGGAGGTGACCAGACATGGAGGGCCCAGGGATCAGGCAGAAGAGGTATGCTAAGGAGGACCTGAAAGTCTCAGTTCTTCAAGGCCAAAACATACTGTGACTTGGAGAAGAGGCGACAGCAGGATGCCAGCCTTCTTAAGTCACTTTCAGACCCGTGTCCCCCTGGATGTAACATAACTTGGAATTTTCACCTTCTCGACCTTCTTAGTGTCACTCCACACATGTGGAGAAATCAAGGGAACTAAAGGCTTAATGACGTCTCTAACCCGTGGCACCAGGAATCATGTTTTACATTATTCTACTCAATAAAAGTATAGAGGGCTGCCTGCAGAGACTATACCAGGTATGGGACACTTCTTTCTAAACCTAGGACTTATCTGAGAGACTATGGGTTCAGAATACTATTTAGTACTCTTTCTAAAAGCATAGATAACCCATTATCCTCAAGACTAAAATTCTTAAACCCAGCAATCCCATTAAAACATTCGGTTAGGGGAGCGCTTTACGGCAGGGGACACAAATTGTACAGGACCCAGGCAGGTAACAAGAAGGAGCAAAGTTGGCCAAGAGCTGTGGTGAAATCACATATTCACCAGCTGCTCCTCCATTTCCATCACATGGAATTTTATCTGTCCTTGGACAAAAGCATCAGCATCAGTCCTAGCAAGAAGGAGACGCCTGCCCAGGACAGGAGTCTAAACTAGCATGTCAAACTGTGACAACACAATTCTCTGATCTAGTTTTAACAATGGATTTATTTGCTGATCCCTAAAAAAGCAAAATTCAGAAACTTGATTTTGAATTTATGAATTCAATGGAAGAATAGATCCAAGACAAAACATTTTCAGTTGTCCTCTCTTCTCTTCCCAAGGTGTGCCCTTTCACGTGCGTGGCATCAGACAGTGGACTGACACCCGGACATACTCTGAAAGGCACCTGGCACTGTCGTGTTGCTCAGGACTTCTGGTTCACCTCCCTGGCAGGCAAGTACAGCCTTTTCTGTAGCCTCCCACTTTCGATAGAAATTTATTGAAAAATTTTCCTGATAGAAAAATATTTAAATATCCCTCTCTCCCGTGCTCATCCCACTTCAGTTATCTACTGGAAAAGTACAGAACTGAAAAAGGATTTTTCCCCCAGGTGTGATCAAAACACAGAAAACTGAAGAACATCCAAGTTCCTCTAAGTTCTCAGGTTATAAACTTGGGTACAGAGGACGTTGAACCGCAAGTTCTATTGCTTCCCTGAAATGGGTAACAGAAGAGAGGATTTGATGAGAACAGTAGGAAAAAAAAAAAACCTGACGGTCATTCTATGATAGAGCAAAGCAGGCTTTTTCAACCATAAACTGACCCCGCCTTTGTTGGTCAGAAACCCTGCAGAGGTCCAACAAGATGAGTCACAAATTTCAAAGACAGTCAGTAGAGAGTACTAAGATCTAGAACAGAACAGAATGCTGCTGAGGGCACCGAGCAGAGAATCCCAAAGAATTTTTAGTGCTGTTTTCATTTAATGAGCCAGTAGTATAGCAACCTAAAGACCTTGGCTGCGATCACACCAGGATGTTTCTAGGGAACTGCTGTAGGAAAACATGATGGACGGACGGCTGGCATCCTCCGGCTCACTGTGCTAATAAGCGAGCAGCTCCAGCACCAGCTCCTCGGAGAGCCTAGGGCTGGGGGGTGTAGCGGAGGTATTTCTTGCCAGATGGGAGCTCTTTGGTGAAGACTCCTTTAGGGAAAAGTTTTTTGGCTTCCTCTTCAGGGATGGTTGGAAGGACCATCACGCTGTCTCCATTCTATTGAAAGACATTGAGAATCATGAAAATCAATCTTATTTATAGTGAAGCCTAAAGGCAAGAATTAACTTTAGAACAGGAGCTACAGGTGCTGATGAGAATAAGCAAGTCTTCTGCTCTCTTCCCTCTGAGGTATTTTGTTTTCACAAGTTGACCTTTGACACTTCGGGGAAGAGAAGTATTTCTTCATCTGAATAGGAAATAGTCCTGTTTTAAACCCAGTAGTGGCTTGCCAGCACACTTTACAGTTTTAATTCTGAGTGCTTATCATTGCCCTGCGTGACTGAATCCAGCCTCCTCTCTCATCCCCGGCCCCTCACGCCACCTCCTGCGGCCTCTTTTCCAGGCACGCTGGCTCTCACCTTCAGGTGCAGCTCCTTCGCTGTTCCTTCAAGCCTGCTCCCTCCCTCCCAAATAGGAGTGACTTGGCCCCTCGCTTTCTTCTTGTCCTTCCCAAAGGACCCTTCAGAAAAAGCCTCTCCTTGACAGCCAAATATAAAACTGGTCCTCCCACCTGTGCTCCCCCTCCTCCCCACCTCTGCTGGCTTACTCTCTGTCGCACTTACCATCACCTAATACACATACACTTGTTTCCTGTTTGTCTCCACCCACTGGAATCTAAATTCTATGAGGGCAGGGACTTTATATTGATTGCTCACTGTCTGGGCTCAATAAACAGTAGGTTCAGTGAATGGATACAGAATTTAAATGTTTTGCCAGAGAAACAAAATAACAAAACCTGGTATTCAGGTTAGCATATTTAAAAAAAAAAAGTAGCAATGTTAAGGCACTCCTGTGATATTATCCACATCCTACACATTGTAGAAATCTTAGAGATGAAAAGTTCGTGATCAAGTTTCAGAGAATTCTACATGGGTTTAAAAGACTGAAACTTCAGAGAAATGACATGCTTCAAGACATTAATACACCAAATAGTTACAACTTAAGTGGCGAATCTGCACTTTGCTATAAATATTTTGCTATCAGTGAAGGGTTAAAGGTTTTTTTTTAATCCTTTTATTAGGAAAAGGAATCATTCTGACCAATTAGTTTGTCCAACTAATCTAAAAGTTAGAAATACAGGGAGTCTGTTTTGTATGAAAGGTGTTAAGGACCCTGAACATGGCCTCTCAGTTAATCTTCAAATTGGCCAGGAGAAGAGATCCTCCAGTGTACCTGCATGCCAGAGACAGAGCCCCAGGTAACACAGACCCTGAAGGTAGCCACGTAGAGACCGGGGCCACGGGCCTTCCAGGCAAGTTGGGTATCTGCCCTTTTAACATCCTTACCTTCCAGTCCACTGGGGTGGCAACCCTCTTTTCTGCTGTCAGCTGGAGAGAGATAATAACTCTGAGAATCTCATCAAAGTTCCTGCCAGTGGTAGCTGGGTAAAGGATGGACAGTTTCAGTTTCTTATCAGGACCAAAAATAAATACCTGCAAAGCACAAAGACACACAAGCGGGAAGAGCTTGTTGAGTGTTTTGGATATTAAAGCCTCTTAGAAAGCCCTGAAGTCACGGAAGATGTTCCAGGGTGTAACCAAACAAAGCAGCAACGAAAGAATCCCCAGACACCCAGAAGGACACCCCGAACCACCTGGGTGGCTGGAACAGAGATGGTTTTCTTCTCCTCATTATTTTTCTCAACTTGAAGGGAATTACATTTGGTTCTGGCTGTCTCAGTTAAGAAAAACTGACTTGCAGATTGAACCCAGGAAAGGCCTCAGGAAGGTATGAGGTTAACTAGGGATGGTTATCATAAAAATAACACTAGCAGGAGTTGACAGTGGTCCTCACATTGTTGTACATTTTTGCTGGTGAGTTTTGCCTAAGTTTGTTCTCTAGTGGGTAAGGACAGAACAAATAAGAATTCAAAACCAGAGGTGCCTGATGAAGAAGGCCCTCTCCCATCGCTTTAGAGACAGGACTGTCAGGAGAACTACGGAAAAAGATTTCTCAATTCTAGATGACATCTTAGGATAACTATTTTGATGTAGATTCCCCCAAAGCTGTGAATTCAGCAGTTTAAAAATTTAGCTGAAATTTTTTTCTTTGTACCAGCATTTAGATAAAAAGTGAGAATGCCACCAAGACAGTTATTTTCTAATTGGAGATATTCCCCCATTTCCTTTAGTTGGCCCGAGCATTTACTTGGACAGATATAGCCTGGTCAGTCACGCGGAATATATAAATGGATTTCTACAACTCACCACACGAGCTGTCACAGGCATGCCCTTTTCGTCCTTCTCTGCTGGGTCCAGCATGCCCAACTGGATGGCAAGGTCCCGATTCTTGTCATCAATGATAGGAAAAGGTAACTTTTCCGTGGGCTCATTACCATTGTAAGCATTGATATCCTGAAATGCAGGGGAAAGGGGGAAGAAAGCTAAACCAGGCACATCCTCTGAATTCAATCCGTTAACAGCTGTCATCTTGTAAGATGGGGAAGAGGATCTTAATCATAATAATTTCTGTAAGCAATTTTAATAAGAAAGTTAACAAACTCTTCATCCCAATTATTCATTGACAGGAACAACAGTATAGTACTTAGGTTATAACCATAAGAGCCTTTTCATGCCCAACGCAAATTCAGCATGCTTTTACTACTTTGAGAAGGCAGCATTCAACTCAATTCAAAAGTTGAATAATATAGTGTTAGACCAAGCCAAGGTACCTCTGGGTACCCAAATACTACAAAAACCATCAGAAACAATGAGTTCACATCTAGAAATTGTATCACATGCAAAGATCATTCTGTAGATCTGATCCTTGCCTCAGAAGCACCCTGACTCAGACCTTAAGCTACTGAAAGACAGATGTTAAGAAGTGAAAAGAAACATAAAACTTAAAGCAAACATAATAATGGAGGGTTGACTATATACTTCAAGGACACATCAAAGGTAAATTCTTTACGGATGAAAAGGTAGAGGTAATTTTACACTAGGGTGAAATCTACTTGGAGAACAAAGCATTTCATGTCTGAACTAACAAGAATGTACTCTCTTCCTCTCTCTGTCCCTTCCTCCCCTGGTAAAACTTCATTTTGCTGTCCCTGGAAGTTATTTTGGGGAAAAAAAAATCTAGCTTCATTATTTGATGCAGCATTGATACTGCACTTAAGGTGGGCTAAGCATTATAAGTACGTGTGGGATATGGATGAGTAAGACATGGTTCCTGCCTTCAGAGGAACTTCTAATTTAGTTAGACGATACCCAAAAGAAGGAGCAGCAAATGTGAGATGGGAATATGTAAACGGCAGACTGCAAATGCTGGCGTATACCAACATCCTCACCTGTTAGACTGCTGAGTTAGGAAAGACTTCAAGAAAGAACGACTTCTACTTGGGGCTTGAAGGATGGGTAAGATTTTCACAGGGCCAAGAAAGGCACTTAGGGAGAGGGAGCATGGTGACGAAACATGTAGGCAAGTCTGAGCATAAATTAGTGATTGGAGAATGAGGAATTATCTGGCCAGAGTTTTAGGAAGTAATGAAAGAGAGGAGTTAAAGTTGGAATAAGGTCTATTTATTATGTGGAGCCTTGAAAGTAAAACAGGAGTTGATGGCAAAGCAGATGTAGTAGAACCTTTGTGAGTTTCTCAACAGAGATAGATGCCATTAATGAACTTTGGAATGGATAACAACAAATTTTAAAATGTTCCTTAATTTTATTAGCTTAACTTCCTGTCTGCTGTCACCGGCTGCCTATCATGTCATCACAGCTAAAAAAATAATCGATATGGTTTCATGCATGAAGCACCTTGAGGTTTCTTACATAACCAGCTGTGTGTCAAAATTTGGACACTGCTTCTGAGAGTTGGAACTTGTTTCCTATTTAACGTAGTCACAATTTTGAAAATTCTAAGGTACTAGCTCACCAGTGAAAATGAATCTGGGTGTGTTCTTATACTTTGAGATGTATTATACAATGGGCTGTAAACTCTTCCTTCAGCTGTTTGTAGTTTCCATTATTGCTATGCAGTAATTCTCAAGCCTGCCATTTGTGATGCTAGGCATTACATCATACCCCTGAACACCAAAGAACCATATGCTTTGGCTTTATCCTATCCTAGGTCAAGCTGATTCCTACTCTCTGTCACCTAGTATCAAAGGGAGCATTGTTTTGAGGTTCAAATTCCACTGCCACCATTTTATTGCAGGGAAACCTTGAGTATGTCCTTCCAACTCCCTGGGTGAAAAAAGTATTCTCATCTGAGAACAGACACCAGAGACCTCCTGTAAAGGGCTACTCCTGGAAACTAATGAGAAACTGCCTCTGAGAATACTATGCAAGTGCCAGTGACCATTCACAGCCCAATGTAAGGAATGAAAAAAATCCAAGTCAAGAAAGAGAAATGTCTCCCCTTTTCTCCTACACACAATTCTTCTAATCTCGGGCACTTAGTATTAACTGGTGTAAAGTGGCCGTGGGGTGCAGCCCCAGGTGCAGCTCACAAGTCAGTACTAGGTCTTGTATCCAGTCGCATGCGAAGTGCTTGACATAGTGCCCAGTGCACAGGAAGCATCCAGTAGACATTGCAGCAAAGTCATTAAAATGTTCTCAAGTTAAGTCTAGACCATCACATTTATTTCCAAGTAAGTCCTTTTGCTGAAAATAGATAGTTCCTTCAGTTCATTTATTCAACAAATACAGACTGCCCGCCTGGGATGTACTGAGTACCGAGCACTGTTCCAGCAGTGTGTAAAATAGGAGGCTGCCCTGCTGAGCCTCCACTCTGGTGGGGAGAAGAGAGTGAAATCAGCAACGTGCAGAGTATTTTAAAAGGTGACAAGTGCTAAGGAGAAAAATTAATCATGGGCAAAGGGAGTATGGAGAGGAGTTAGAATTTTAGATAAAGAGGCCAAGGATGGCCTTAATAATGGGTGTCATTTGAGTTGAGACCTGAAAGAGATGAGGGCAAGCCACATAGATACCTGGGGAAAGTCTTCCAAATAGGATTCTGGATATATTCTGAAGGTAGAGCAGACAAGTTTGCTGATGAATCAGATGTGTGATGTGGAAAAAAAAAAAACCCCAGGAATTAATGATGAGTCCTGGATTTTTGGTCTGAGCAACTAGAAAAATGCAGATGCCATTAGCCAATATGAGTGAAATCCTGGGATTAAGAATAGGAGCCCAATTTTAGACACGTTAGGTTCAAGATGATAGGATACCCCAAGGGGGATGCTGAGCAGGCAGTGGTTACAACAATCTCTGGAGAGAGCCAGGAGAGTCTGGCCTAGAGATGGAAATTTGGGAATCATAGCATATAGATGTGGGTGGATGAGTTCACCAAGGGAAAGAGTGTAGATAAGGGGAAGGGGTCCAGGAAGTGAGTCCAGGGCATCTCCAGGATATGCTAGGAGCTGGGAGATGATGAAGGTCATTCTGAGCATGAGCAGGGACATGGTGGTGTCCTGGAAGCCCAGAAAGGAGAATGTTTCAGGATATACAGTGATCAGCTGGGTTGCCTGCTGCTAGTAGGCTAAGAAAGACAGGGGCTGAGAACTGACCACTGGATTTAGCAAGGTGGAGGTCACTGTGAAATCCAAGTCAGATTTTCAAATACTCAGTGAAGTCCGAATCTGAGGTTTACTTGTATCTTCACTGCAAAAAAAAAAAAAAAAAAAAAAAAAAAACAAGCTACTCTGTAAAATTTAGAACTCGATCTATAACCTCAAAGCGTACGCCAGTGGGTACTGTACCTTGCTCCAAGCAAGATGGTCTTCCACACTGTCTATTGAAAGGGCAATCATCTTCACGTTCCTCTTGGCAAATTCTGGTGCCAGCTTTGCTGCTCTGCCAAGCTCCGTGGTACACACTGGGGTAAAGTCCCGAGGGTGGGAGAAGAGAATGCCCCATCTGAAATGGGGGAAGAGAAGGTCACAAATGAATGAAGAGATTATCCCCAACATCACATTCAATGAGAAATCACAAATCCTAGATCAAAAATGACTTTCTTTTTTAAATGAACGCTTATGAAGACAATCCCTTTTGAATTTTTCCATTGAGGAATGCTTTTTGATGTTCTTACCTCCAGAAAAGCCTATGTTTTGAGCCCAATTCAAAGATAATGAAATTCAACATGATAAATATTTTAAAAGAGTTTAATTTAAGGGTATTGCTTCCTTTAATAACTACAGAGCCACCCTGACTCCTTTTCAGCTAATAAAATCTGTGCTACTCAAACCAAGGAGCTTCTTGAAATAACTTTTTTTTTCTTCTTACTCTTTCAACATTTTTTTCCCCAAGCACAGAGATGCTGACATTCACCTCTAATAATGGATGTTCCAGTATGCCCTGAACTAGACCAGCGCCTGACTGCAATAATGAACAGATTACATAATCTGAAATAAATAGGCGTCTATTCTCTTTTTACATGTAAAATTTAAGCTGACACTTGGCTTCTTTGAAATGAACAAACTATAAAAACTTTTGTAAAACTAGTTTACTGACCTAACTTGTCAAACAGGACACCCGATGTTTGTCCACTGACAAAACAATAGCACTTTAAGAACTTTTCCTCTCTCTTCATTTGCAGTTTCTTCTTCTTGCTTCAGACCAAGCAGGTAGAAAACTGACAGCCTACACGGTCGATTTCTACAACTATGGATTCTTAGGTAAATACTAATATCTAAATCATCATTAAGGTTAAACCTGTATAGACTTTAAGCACATTTCAAGCTAAAAGTCACCAAGAACGTTTGGAGGACTATTTCCTTCGCCTTGGCAACAGAAACTCTATCACTGAAAAGGAAAATCTAACCCTCCGTTTCCATCCTTCCATCGACTTACGAACATTAAAGCAGGATCCTAAACTAGTAGATTACTAAATCTAGCCTAGATGCGAAGCTGCCTTCAAAGTCTGCCAAGTTTCCTGAAGCACAGAGAACAAAGCAGAGACCAGGCACCTCATCCCCCCCCCCCACATCTGCCACTCAACTCCCAAGGCTTCAGGAAGGGAAAAGACCTTCTTACAAAAAAGATGGATGGCCCTATGGCAAGACTGGGAAAAGAGAGGTAATATTTTTGTGGAGGGGTGTGGTACATTTACATTTTTTTTTAAATAAAGGGCAATAAAAGGGCTAATGTAATGTTTTGAAGCAATGTAGCTGTAAGTAAGAGCTTAGGTCTTAGAGTCTGTGAAAAAGGCTCTGTTTAACAGTCAGATAAGACTTAAGAGAAAGTCTCCAGAAGTTGAAAAAAAAAGAACAGGGCATTTCTCCTTGTATGGTTAGGTGATTAATTAGAAAAATTGTGAGTTAAGGGACTGTCTTGCTGAATCATGTTAGGCAACTCATTTGACGCCACTTCACATCCTCCCCTCCCCTCAGAAACCAAACACTAGTTTACCACATGGCTAGGGACAGGATAAACTCTGGGAATGTCTTCCTCTGGCCTGCCTGCCCTCCAAGTCTCCCTACTGCTGCTCTTCAGAGTAATTCAATTACATTATCCCATTTCCTTCCTTCCTTCTTTCCTCATTTTCAGAAGACTTTCGTCTTTAAAGGTTTCCTCCTTTAAGGGAGGGGTCCCCACTCACTCGCCCGCCGAAAACCCAAGGAAAACACACATTTTGTTTGGTGAAGATGTGCTGTGAAGAAGCTGCTTCTACCACATGCATTCAGAAACAGTGATTAGGCTCAGTAAACTCACCAAATGTGACACCCAAACCCCTTAGTTGTTTCCAGTTGTTAGGGTAATGGTTGAAATTATTTTTAATTTTTCTACAAAACACACCTGGATCAAAAACTGACAGTCTGAATTGAGATCACATACAGAATGGAGTTTGGAAAAATTATATGAGGCAAAAATCCATGTACATAATGACATGAGGGGCTCAAACGTATGTTCCGCATAGGGCAGGAAATAGCACTACCCCGTGCCTGACCCAAGGCAGACTTGTATATTGTTTGTTTATAGATGCAGGTATTTTTCTCATCTTCCTACTTGTGGCTCACTGAGAATATGCCACTTTTAATCACATCAGGATAGGTCCAAAGGCCAATAAACGACAAGAAAAAAAAAAAAACCCAAAGTAGGGTTAACTTAAATAGTGGCAGCATTTATAATTATTGCTGTAGTAAACATGCTTTAGGTTAATATTTATCTTTAACCTATACAACCTAAGAATTCTGGTAAGATTTTGTTTTATGGGGCTGAGGGCTGTAGGTAGCCATGGGAAGGAACATACTCTGAAAAATCCCATGGAGTTTTGGAGAAATACTAATATCTAGACTCCAAATTTGAGAATGGCTGTAGTCTGTATTTCTGAAGTCTTTCTCTGCCTTTAAGGTCTGCATGTTCCATTTCTCATCCTTTTTCTAGCCTGGTCCTCTCTTTCAAAAAGCTTAGCTTTTCCCTTAATCAGTGGCTGGAAAATGGATTTAAAGGATTGTAAAGGGCTGGTTAGGCCTAAGGTGTAAGAATCTCTCCCAGGTTCCTGTCCAATAATTGATCATTCTCCTAAACTTCCCCATCTCTCTGTCTATAATATATATATACCTGGACACTGTATATAAAAAGGATGTCAAGCAGGAAGGAATTGTAAAGCTTTAGACCACAGTGTAGTGGGGCCACTAACTTCAGAACCACAATGTAACTAGACACGTCTGGGATGGTTCAGATTAAATCTAATCAACTTAAAATTTGCTGATTCAGGAGCTATAAAATCATCATGACATAAAGATACTCCTAGTTGTAATGGTATGATTGCCAGGCTAGATCATGGGCCACGGATTTGGCAAGGCCACATGCTGCTGGAAGCAAGGCAGGAGGGGGAGGGGGAAGTGAGAGGCACTCCTCTATGAGACAAAAGGGTGTCAAAGTGGGGAGGTCCGGGTGTCCTGGCGCCTTGCACGGCCTACCCTGGCAAGAATAGGTCACTGCAACTGAACGGCCTCAGAAAGCCCTTCCCTCAAGGTGTTACAAGTTCTGGAATGAAGGACGCACCCACATACAGAGTGTTCTGGGTTCCTCCCAAAGCTGATATCAAATAATATTCTGGCCACTGGAGGAGGCTCTGGACAAAAAGTCTTTCAGCCACTTATTTGGCAGCTGGTGGTTTCAGATTTTTTGTGCTAAGAAGCCTGCAGATACTCCTGCAGCAAGCACAACCCTCTGATAACACGCCGGGCCCTTCCTGAACCGCCAGCCAGCAGCAGTGTCCTCTGACTCTGGCCTTGGACACCCACTTTCCCCAGGGAACAGACTCCAAAAGAGAGAGAGGGAGGGAGGTGCGACCTGGGCACAAGTCCCGGGAACTGACCGCCGATGCCGCCCGGCGGCCCCTGCCCCCTCCAGACCTCAGCTTGACCATGATACTTGCACAGTTTATCAAGCAGAGTTAAATTCACAACAAACCCTCCTCCGTACCAGCCTCCCGTTCCCGGGACCTGCGGGAACCCAATCTTGTTCCCCTCCCCCACCCCACCCCGAAGCCAGCCAGCCACGCGGGGGCCGGGAGGCGAGAGGGGATCAAGTGGCAGGAGCGCGGCGGGCCGGAGGGAGGGTCGCCGTCCCCTAGCAGCGCTCGGCAGACGCGGGGTAGGGGACACATGGCGAGAGGCACGTGCAGGAACCGGTGCCAGGAGGAGGCAGGCGACGAGCAGGGGGCTGAGCGGTGAGAAGGACAGGACGGAAGGGAGGAAAAAGGGAAGGCACCTAGGAGTCCGGGCGTAACCCGAGGCCAGGACAGAGCGAAGAGGTGGCCACTTACGAGTCTCCCAGATAGTCGTGGAAACGGATGCGGCCCACGGTAGTATTGGCCTCGAAGTTGGGAGCCTCGTCCCCGAGAAGGAGACCTCCGGGCATGGCGGTAGCGGTGACGCGGGAGGATGAGGAGGCGCAGCAGCGACAGCCACCAGCAAGCTGGTTCTGCTGGTGTAGGTGCTGGGG